ACGTTTGACTTCTAGTGCTGTGATTTGTCGCGCTGCTAGACGAGCTTTTGGACGAGTTCTCGAAAGTGGAAGAAGCTGTAGTCGACGGCTTGCTCTTCTGCCGTTCGCTGCCGCCGTGCTTTGGGCAAACTTTCTCGTTGATGTTGGATTTGGAAGGCATTTTTTCGAGCTAAGGAAGTTCGCACTTTGACCGAAGATTTCACATTGAATTGGTGCGACGGAGAGGCGACTTTTGGGCAGTTGAACTGCATCCTAGATACCAGCCTGAATTAGACGAGGCCAAATTAAATTATTTTAAGCAATTTTTTGTTTTCGTAAATATGATGCAATACAAGAAATCTTCGCATTTCCGAAATTTCAAAGCAAAACCAAATTGAGCTTGTGTCTACTGCATTGAAAAATAAATCATATTGATCATCTTACGATGCGCATGACTTGTGAATTTCGTTTTCGATTGAAAATTTCAAAATTATCAAACTAGGGCGAGATCGTATTTTATGAGTAAATATTGTTAACTGTTATATATTAATAATCTTGATAAACACAGGAAGGAAGTTTTTCATAATGACAACTCTTTTTGTGTTCGCTGCAGGACAGCAAAAATTGTCCTGGAATATCAAAGTAAGAGTTGAACTTACTTCACGTTTTCCGTTATCGTTCATATTAAGAAACAGAGATGGAGTTTGCGCAACTGGTAGGCGGGGAAAAGTTGTGGTCAAAACAATTACTACAGACGGAACTTCATAACAAACCACCCTGCATACACCGGTCAGACACAACTTATCTCGAAGGCATTCGATACTAGCGATTCGATGGCGCGTTCTTCGACATTCTTTTTCACTTTGTCTGGTCAATTATACTCCGTATGATATACTTGCGTATTAATAAAAAGCCTGAACATTGATGGTGGGTCTAGACTTTAGATGGCGGTGGCAAGGCCACAACAAGTGTTCTCCAGAGCATGCGCAGAGCTGCGGCAACCCACACTTCCTGCCGATACTATAGCAGCGCTACGCAACACTGCTGGTGCTGGGACAGCTGGTGCAGGGACAGCTGGTGCTGGGACAGCTGGTGCTGGGACAGCTGGTGCTGACTCACTCCCGCCACACGCAGCGCGTGACTCACTCCCGCCACACGCAGCGCGTGACTCACTCCTGCCACACGCAGCGCGTGACTCACTCCTGCCACACGCAGCGCGTAACTCACTCCTATCACACGCATGCTGTGGTGGCACTGTAAGCTGTACTGTAATTTGAAATGTAAGCTGAAATGTAAGCTGAGCCGTAAGCTGTGCCGCAAGCTAGCTGTACTGTAAGCTGCACTGTAAGCTGTACCAAGAGTGTAATAAGTGTAATAATAAGTGTAATAAGCGTTCATGATGCCAGGCTGTGCTTGCTGGGCGTGGGGTTGGCAGGCAGCCACACGGTGCACCTGGGGAGGACCTGCCCTGAAGTCGAGCCCTTCCCGAACCTGGCCATTGATAAGGTGGGTGTCTTGGGGAGTGTATGGGGAGTAGGAGTGAGTCCTGGGGTGTGTGGTGTCTGTAGGTGCAGGGGTGAGTTCCGGGGGGGTGTGGTGTCTGTAGGTGCAGGGGTGAGGTGTCCCGGGGTGTGTGATGTCCGAAGGTGTGGGAGTGAGTTCCGGGGAGTGTGATGTCCGAAGGTGTAGGAGTGAATTCCGGGGTGTGTGGTGTCCGTAGGCGTAGGGGTGAGTCCTCGGGTGTGTGGGTTGTCTTGGGGTTTTGTGAAGGATGAAGGTGTCCCTGAGGTGTGGGAGGGGCAGATGTTATTTTCCAATGCCGCCCTCCAGCCGCGGGATGACTAAGGCGGTGCACCAGCATGGTCGCGACCCCGTCCCCATCTACACATGGGGCCTAAAGCTGTCTTTGGTATGGTAGTGGTCGGGTTTGTGTATGTTTACATCAGTTATTGGTATGTCTTGCTTTTACACGCTGTACCCGCAGGTACTGGGCGTGTGGTACGTCGTGTACCAGTTCGACACGCGCAATACGTGCTCCGTATGGAACGTAACACGTCTGGCGGACGAGCGTCTGGCCATCACAGAGACGCGGCAGCTGTGGCTGCTGGACGCCGTCAGCCTCGACCACCAGCACCTTGTCACCGCCACCCTCGACATCCCCAACCCTGAGGTCCCTGCCAGGATGAGGATCCGCTGGCCCACCTGTGAGTAATCAACCCACAATGTCTGTTTAACCCACTGCAGCCCACTGACCATTGATAGCCCAAGTGTTTCGGACGTAGTAGTCCCTGGCTACACTGGAGGCCTCTCTTCTGGCAGGCAAGTCGGCCGAGGGCCAGGAGGCCAGTCCATCACTACCGTTCATTGCCCTCTGTAGGGCCAGCTGATGCCAGATGATGTTGCCTGCTTCTTGCCGCTGGTAGTGATGCGGACCATCAGGAATTGTGCACAGGAACACGTCGTCGTCTGTAGTATCCTAGCTGAGGAAATTTTAACGTACCGCAGAAGTGCAACCTAATTGACGAGGGTGACCCACTGACTGAGCGCTATGACGTGTTTGACTCGAACGATTGTCGTGCTTTCAACGTAGCTTTTATTGCACGCACTACCGACGAGGCCTCATGAGCGATACCCCGACATGGCTGATGTATTATTAACGGAACACCCTGGGCTGTTCTATACAAACTTGCTCAAGTAAACTTAGCGGTCTAATTACCACTAATGATTACTCATCTTTAATGATGGGTTTAACCTTATAAGATGTCACTGAATGGCTGACGGAGTTGCAAATACGTAACTATTTATACGTAACAGAACTAAGGCGAAAGCCATCTCAAGTTTAATTGCGGGTTGTTTTTAGCGTTTGTCCTGCGTTTTACACCCGACGACCTCTAGTATAACGTATATCGCCTGGCAGTGTTATTCCTACGACGGACGGCTGTGCACGAAGCCTCGACAGTTACCGTGTTTGTGTTCGGGGTGAGACTTTACTAGAAGACCAAGTTACCAATTTCAGAATATCATATTATTTTCATCGCGAAAATATTTAGAATACGGAATATTAATTCAGAATACGAAAATATTTTGCACGAAAGCCTGCGACAGGCATTTTAGTCAGTGTCAGGCGACATGCGAAGTCAGCCAACGTACTCCACTGACTGAATCAGTCACTGACTTGATAGTTCGCTGCCTGCACTGATACACCAGTCCCTTACAGTCTCGTCTCCCCGTCCACAGCGCTGACAGGCAAGGCAAACTTCACGGTCTTCGACACGGACTACACTACATCTTGGTTACGTTACTTTGAGCACATCTTGGTTACGTTACTTTGAGTACATCTTGGTTACGTAATTCTCAGTCAAATGTTGCGTACTTTTGCTGAGCGGAAGATAACTTCTTGGAGAAAATCCTATGGGAATAGGGTTTCCGTTACGTATTTCGTGGAGAGCAGCTCCAACGGCAAAACCGGGGCCTATACTTTCAAAAAAAGTTGAGAGATCGTAAGTTCATCAGCCAATCAGTGATGGCCTTTCAAGCAAAATCTACCAATCATAGACAAGAAAATAGCGTATACTCTTACGTTACGAGCGAGTTTTGAAAGTATGGCCCCAGAACTGTCGGATGCGAGATGATATTCGTTGACGTTCGCCGAAGGGTGGACGACTGTCTCGATGCTTGCTAATTCGGATTTAATTTTCTTAAAAGCTATCAAGTCATTCTCAGACAGCTGTAAAGCAGTGGTTTTAGGATTTGCCTTCAAGATTACAGTCAGTGGAAGTACAATTTTGGCAAAGTTAGGTAGAAGTTTTGTGTAAAATCCAACCATTCCGAGGAAGCGGCGAAGCGCTTTCGAATCCTTCGGAACTGGAAAATCGAGGATTTCTCTGATTTTACTGGTGGTCGGTTTGATCCCTTCTTGTCTGATGTTTTAGCCGAGAAAATCAATCTGGTCTTGAAAGAAGGAGCACTTTTCGATCGATATTTTCAAGTCGTTTTCGTGAAGAATGTTGAGGACGTTCTCCGAGTCTTTATAATGCGTTTGTTCATCTTTAGAAAATATAAGGATGTCATCGAGGTAGGTGAAGCAGTTGGTGCAGTTTCTGAAAAGGTTGTCCATGTAACGCTGGAAAGTCGCTCCGGCGTTCTTCAGACCGAAAGGCATATACTGTAAATATATTCGAATAGTCCGAAAGGTGTAGCTACGGCAGTTTTCTCAATATCGTTGGGGTGCATTTTAATTTGATGGTAGGCTCTTACTAGATAAATTTTGGAAAATATTGCGTTGCCATATAGTTAGTTTGTCAGACTCTGGATGTTGCGGAATAGGATATCTATCGCTTTTGCTAATGGCATTTAATGCTCTGTAACTGCCAGATGGTCTCCACTGGCCTGGTTTCTTTTTGGGAACCATGTGCAAAGGAGAGGACCATGCAGAGTTGGAAGGCCTTATGATACCTGCTATAAGCAGATCCTGAAATTCCTTATGCGCGGCGTCAAACTTCTCTTTACTGAGTGGATGGACCTTTGAATAGGTCGGTGGCGCACTACCAGTATCAATGTGATGATATACTTTGTTCTCCGCTGTCTTCCTATGTTGGGCATTATTTCTTGGCTGAGTTAGCGACGGGAATTTATCTAGAAGGCTCGTGACGTTTGTTGCAAGTTGTGAATGATCATTTACGATTAACCTACAGACCGCTTCTTTAGCAAATTTGGTTGCCATTTTCACTCTTGGTTACGTTACTTTGAGCACATCTTGGTTACGTTACTTTGAGGAGGTAGAGCAGCGTGCAGCATGACTCACATGAGGTAGAGCAGCGTGCAGCATGACTCACATGAGGTAGAGCAGCGTGCAGCATGACTCACATGAGGTAGAGCAGCGTGCAGCATGACTCACATGAGGTAGAGCAGCGTGCAGCATGACTCACATGAGGTAGAGCAGCATGCAGCATGACTCCCATGAGGTAGAGCAGCGTGCAGCATGACTCACATGAGGTAGAGCAGCGTGCAGCATGACTCACATGAGGTAGAGCAGCGTGAAGAAGAAGAGCAGCAGCAGCGAAGAGATGATGAGCCACCCGTGGATGATCTGCTCACGAGTTATTCTCTTAATGGCGTGTCTATGGCTGCCTATAGCCATAGAGCTTGTAAATGGCTGCCTATAGACATAAAGCTTGTATATGTTGGCCAAAGCACAGGAGCTACACGTCTCGCCACAAGGGCTACTAACTAGAGCATTGAAAGGATGTTCACTAATTTGGCCATATCATCAATGGGCTGAATTTCATATGCCTATACATACAAATTCATACACCTATACATAAAACTTCTTAGAAGCTCACACAGCAAAACCCATGTAGTAGAAGTACCATCTATGATGCCCAACAACATGCAAGTTGCTTATATGGTCATAGACGCGAGTGCTTAGTGTTACGGTTGCGGGAGTTATGGTTTTATGGTTATGTCTCAAAAGATTGTTCTATTAAGGTTAAGGCTGAAGGAATTATGGTATTTTAGTTATGGCTAAGGAGTTACGTCATTACAGTTATGACTTAAGAGGATATAGCGTCACCTTGTAGCACCGGAACTTGTAGAGCAGGATGAGGAAGAAGGTAAGCACCACCACCAGCGCCAGGATGATGAAGGCGTTCACGAACGCCCCCATTACGTTCTTCGCAACGCTGTCTGACGTCTCGTGGAACGGCGTGTACAATCTGCACAGCGGGAGACACTTGTACCCTGCATGTCTCGAGCCCTCCAAGCCTCAAAAAAAGAAGGCCTGGAGGATAGTGTCTGACGTCCTAGCCCTACTCCACTGTTCATGGCATACACAACAACCCACAACCAAAATAATCCTCTTAAAGTGGCTTTACGGAACAATGGCTCCTGCATTACAGTATTAGAAGCCCAATGTGTAATGACTGCGATATACCGTATGTAGATATATACAAAACATATCTATTATATTATTGAACCTGCCACTCCTGACTCTAAGTAGATGTATACACTTCTGCCAGGTAGACTACATAGTACCATCAGGACGATCAGGTAGACTATAAAGTACTAACAAGTAGATGCCCTTCTCTGAGTAGAATGTAACGGAAGCAACAGTAGCAACAACGACCAGCATGCACAGCGACACGGGGATGAAGAGCTTGATGACGTGCTGGGCCCCGTACTTGAGCACCAGCTCCTCCTCCTCCTCCAGTTGCTGCACAACATTTATTTCCATAACATATTGCAGCAAAATTAAACTCTAATATAATTTACTCCTGCATGACGCATTACAGTGAAATTAAACAGTAATATAATAAACCAGTTGCAATCTTCAGAATGGTGCTTAGTTCTGCCAGACACAGAAGGGTAGAGGCATCACCATTGGCAATCAACAATAGGATTGCATAGCTTACTAAGCCTTCTTATGCTTACCAATATAAATAGGATAAATCAGGTAATTAAAGTAAAATAGATGCTAGTATCCAGCCATTTTTGTTCTTATGATGCTTGCCCATTTGTTTCTGTGAATCACAATCATTCTTTTAAAGGGTTTGAAAGTTTATTGTCCGGCAATGTTTGAGCGAGCAACAGGAGCCAAGCAGATAAATCAACTAGTTGCTCAGTGTGCAGCTGAAAAGCAGATGAGTATTGCTTACTATGAATTGTAATTATAAATATTTAAGGAATTATGATTGGCAGGAAGTTTAATGGTCATATTTGCCAGATTTTTTAGAGAAGATTTTTCTTTACAGTGGATAAACTCCAACGTAAGGAATAGAAAGTTGCCAGATGGCTCGTTATCACAGATGCTTGAGCACACAAACACACAAGAATTGTGGTCAAAATAAGCTTGGTGGGGATCTTGCAGTGCATATGTTCATACATGTATTGTATGAATGCATTCAGATCAGTCTTCATCCATAATATAGAAAAATTGTGGTGTACACAGAAGAATAGAATTACCCACCTAAGAGAGAAAATGCAACAAAAGACAGAAGACAGAAACAATGGAAGCTAGGAATATATTAAAAACGTGTCATTTTGTGAGCCAAAGCTCTCACTCGCTCCATGTGCTCCCGATCCCTCTGCCTGCGCTGCTCAAGCCTGGCTGCCCTCTCCTCCTCGGTGAGGGGACGGCGACCAGGTGGGGGTTGAGGGGTGGGGCCACCAGCCCCCTCAGCTGCCATCGGGGTACTTGGGTCCTGCAGGCACAATATGTAAACTAGAGGTCATTTTTCTTTGATATTTACATGGACTTCATGAATGATTTGTTATTAAATCTGTATGTGTGATCTATCGTCTACCCTCACTTGGAGTGATGCCAATAAGAATAACATAAAACAATTGTATATGCTAGGTTTCACCCTGATTCCAAAGCAGATAAACATGTTAGTCTGAGTTTGTTATGTCGCCTGAGGCAATATTTATCAAGAATCTTTAATGGAATTTTGTTGGAAGCTTTCTAAATTCTGTTGACACAACCATTAACACCAATCAATGAAATGGTTGATCGAGCCTCATAATGTTGGTGAAAACTGGTATGGAGTTAACCATCAAATAACATAGGAGTGCTTTTTTGTCAACTAGTTGAAAACAGAATCTTTTAAGTCACAAACATATTTACATCGATTTTACTTAATTGCTTAAAATAATTATTAGGAATATCACTTGGTTTCAAAGTACTTGGTATAACCAAAAAAATCATCTGATTTTATAAAATTTAAAATATTTTGTAATTTGTTTATAAATTTCCTAATCAAATAATAATTTGAACAGAATAATTTCACTAATTTACACCTAAACCAAAATATTGCGCAACATCATTTTCCCACTAAGTGATGTTGGAATTCATGCTTTGCAAATTTTCATTTTGAATCCAGTTGCTTTGGCAGGCACTGTCTCTTTCTTCTAATGTAAGAGTAAAATCTAGATAGAAGCAGAATCAAGGATATACGGTACGGTATATACATATACCGGTATTGCAATATTCATAAAAATAAATGTAAAATACATGTGTATTGGATTAGAGGTAAATGAGAATGCTTTAAAATTAATCAATTTTATACTCAAGGATTGGCTTGCAGTTCAAAAATAATCAGGTCATTCAAAACAAATCTATAGGTGCAAAACTAGTACTTTTTTGCGTGAGCATTTATATATTTTCAAGCTACAAAGTATGACATATACTAAACAGATAAATTGAATAGAAATGTACAAAATTTTAATTTAACACACAAATTTTTAATTTAACATATAATTGAATTTCCACTTCAACTATGAACAAAATATCTCAATTGAGTCTTGAGCGTAATGTCATCAGCTGGTAATAAATGTGCTGTTCTTACATTATCTGAAGGATTTGTAGCTCGAGGTTCTTTAGCAGCTCCTGAATTTCTTGTTCTACTGCCATCTTCTACTGAGTGATCTTCAATGCTAACATGACCATCCATGTTTGAGGGGCAGTAGAAGTTGGCTAGCAGCCAATTCACACTCCACAATTTAGATATTTTTAATCAGGTATACAATTTCAATTAGAATCTAACTTTCTGAAACATACAAGGAAACATACATATTAAAATTGCAAACTTTACATGACTTTTTTCAATTAGGTCTGAGAGTAGTTTATGGATACAAATCCTGATGTGTTTACCAGCAGACCTACTAGTTAGCTATGAGTCCACTGTGAGAGCCTACCTCAGCATATATGTCACAAGGACAAGAACCCAGTGAATGGAGGTACGAAGCATATAAATGGGCTGGAAACCTTTTAAAGGTACCCCCAGAAGCTAACCATTTGTACCCCCAGAAGCTAACAAATATGCATGTATAACCAGATAATGCCCAGAAGCTAAAAAGTATGCATGTATACTTGTGTAGAACCACCCTGTATCAAGATAAGTTCTCTGGACAGATGGTGTCTTAATCTCTCACACACCAAGTCAATGAATCCCTGTCCTCAGTTTCAGATAAATATAAAGTCAGTCAGGAGGCACCTAATACATGGCCTTTAGGTAGGAGGCCTTTTTAGGCCTTTAAAAAGGAGGCCTTAAAAAAACTAATACAGTGCCTAACAATTAGATAATAATATTTTTACTGCAGTTAAAAAGGTTCAATTAGGAGGGCTAACAAACACTGTAGGTATATTGCACTTTACTTAACAGTCTGGTGAATGCATATATATACCATCAAAGAGGGTAATAAGGGACTGGCAGGGTAAATTGCGACAGTCCTCTGACATAGGGTAAAAATATTATAGCAGCAAAACTAATTGAAATATTGCAAAACTAAAGATAGTGGCATAAATTTCAACATTTTTCCTATCTATGTAGCACAAAGGAAGTTGTAGGGTAAATGCGGTATATTCCGACATCGTAGGTAATTCCGTCACTTCTCTAGTTTTTCCTTTATATTAAGCTTTGTTTTAGTTCCATCATCAATGTAGGGTAAACGCGGTATATTCCGACATCGTAGGTAATTCCGTCACTTCTCTAGTTTTTCCTTTATATTAAGCTTTGTTTTAGTTCCATGCGTTCATTGATGGTTGAAATGGTGACGTCATACATTTGCGTGTCGATGGAATTCGAACACGTGGATGTTGGCAATACGTATCAGTTAAATTTGAAGCGCTGACGCAATACGACTCACCACGTGTTGGATGTTGGAATATAGGGATTTAGTAGGTTTCCATTCTAAAGGCTTTTTAATAAATATGGCAACATTTTGTGACGTTTCATCGTTGCTGACGCGTAGTGAAGTGTTTTGAGAGTCATGTGAAGGCAACAGAACTTACGTAACGCATACGGTTTTTTTTTATAGTTTTTCATTTCTCGATGCATCCTTAAAGTGTCAGAATATACCGCGTTTACCCTAGGTGACTTGGACTGTATAGACTTTAAGAAAAGAAAACCCCTATACTCAAAAACAAAAAGTTTTTGCCTCAAAAATATTTAGTTGACAGCTTGAAACTGAAAGCCTTGAACTTGAAGTATCATGCTGTAGCCAGGTAGTTATTTCAGTATTTTTCATTGCAAACCAAATCTGTTCTCCAATGTTCTATTTCATGACTTCATGTTATATTTCAGAATCTTATGTTGGTCTGTATGGTCAGGTCAAGTGGGGTAATAAGGGAGAGGTGGGGTAAATTGGGAGTTCGGGACATGGGATGATGGGGACAGTGCTCAGTCAGCCATACTGGCAGACAGTCACGGCAAAAAAGTGTTATAGCAGCAAAACTAGAGGTAGAGGTGTAAAGTTCAACATTTTCCTAATCCTATATATGTAGCATTGTAGCAGTTCAATCAACTGGGATTCCACAAAACTTAAGTGGCTATGGCCTATGAGCCCACACATGACACACACACAGCCACACAGGCACACAGCCACAGCTGCCACACTCACACTGCATGCCCACTCTCAGTCTGACCACTGTGACCAGGCTCACCCCAAGATACTAGCTAGGTACCCTACGCCCTACGGGTACGCCCTATGGCTACGGCCTACTCAAGAATGTCAAGATGATTAGGTAGACTGAATTTAGGACAATGAAAACAGGTTATTACACAATGCCAGTATTATGAGTACCTATACTTAGAGTTAGAGTGAAAAACTAAGACAGCACTCAGCAGCCAGGAGCCAGCAGCAGCAGGCAACTAGTGAAAGAAGAATAAGTTTCTGCATGGGACAGATAGCAATTATGCAGAGTAGCGGTAGCCTCAGTAGATATGGCCGTAGCCACACAGTTTAGTCAATTATTCATGATCTGCCATGCCACCAAGTCCAGAAACACACAAAATTTCTTTTAATCACTTCTCACTCAGTCACTGTCGATCTCGAGTGACCACTCCGACACCGCGTTTTCATTGTTATTTTCTTCTTTCTCGGCACTTAATATTCTTGCATTTTAAAAGGCACATTTCACCACCGCTTTTGCACATTTCACTATCACATTCACAGCAAAACAAAATATGATTTCTCATTTGTTGTTGTTGTTTTGTCTGCTTCTTGAGGAAGTGGAGTCGTCCTCCATACACCTCACGGCTCAAAAGGCTCCCCCGTCTGGCAAGCCAATCTGTAATAAATAAGGCTATTAGGCAAAATAATTGTGTCTTATGATCATTAAATAGTGCAT